CAATACATGCTACAACTTGGATAAACCTTGAAAATATTTTTCCAACTCACAGACGCCAGATACAAAAGGTCACACATCATATGATTGCTAATCTATGAACGAATAAAATAATCCATGGAGATTGAGTGCAGACTTGTGGTTGTCAGCAGATGAGGAGAGAGAGAAATAGAGAGTGAATATTTAAAGAATAAAGGGATAATAATAAAGTTTTGAGACTAAACAGGTGGTGGCAATTGTACAATGTTTTATATGTACTAAATTTGGATGTCACGTAAATTTATCCTTATTTTAAAAAAAAGAAAGAGACACAGCATGTATACTATATAATGCCTATATAACATTCCCAAAAAGATTTGGGGCAACAATTTATCTTCAAAGGCAATAGTATTACTGCAACAAAATACCTGACCATTCAAAATAAGTGAAGTAGGTAGGAGCTATATAAATAGCCTCATACAAGTTCTTTTCTACCCAATAAAATCATTAGGAAAAAATACTATCATTATCTATCCAGGAGATGCAAATCAAAACCATGAGATACCACCTTATACCAACAATAGACCAATTAAAAAAAAATGCTGGCGAGGGTGCAGGGAGACTGGGCCTCTTGTACATTACTAGTAGGTCTTATGTATGTACAACCATTATGGAAAGCGATAGTGTTACCACAAAAAAACTGGGACTAGAAACCCCATATGATCCAGCAATACCTCTGCTGGAACTATATCCTAAATTAGAGTCATGAGACAAACATTAACTCATGTTCCTCACAACACTGAAGAACAGATAGAAGTTGGGACAGCCCAAGGACCCAGCAGTAGAATGGATAAAGAAGCTTGTACATACACAACATAGAATACCATGCATCACTTAAAAAAGAGCGGGACAAAATAATAATAATTTATAAATTATCAAGGGTTCATGAGGCAGGGAGGAGTTGGGAGGGAAGGGGAAAAATGAGCTGATATCAAGGGCTCAAGTAGAAAGCAAAGTTTTGAGAATGATGATGGCAACAAATGTACAAACATGCTTGACAAAATGGATGTATGTATGGATTGTGATAAGAATTCAATGAGCTGTTGTTTTATTTTGTTGCTTGGTTTTGCTCCGTCTTGTTTTTGTGCATGTTATTATCTCCGCAAGTCTGTCTAAATAAGATAGGCTGGATGAACAATCTGGAGGAGAAAACAACGGGACC